TTGAAATCAGGTAGTAGTAGCTTTCCAATTTTGTTCTTTTTTTCGAAGTTGTTTTGGCTATTCTAGTTTTTTTTCCATTTCACATGAACTTTAGAATCAGTTTGTCAATTAAAAAAATGCCTGCCGCATCTTGATTGGTATTACATTGATCAAACTGGGGAGAATTGACTTCTTATCAATATTGGGTTTTTCAAGCCATGGGCTAGCTCTCCATTTATTTACATCATCTGTAATTTTTTTCTCAGCTATATTTTGTAGTTTTTAGCTTACAGATCGTTCACAGCTTTTGTCGGATTTAACCCTAAGTATTTCATATTTTCCAATGCTATATGTAAAGAGTGTTTTTATTTTAATTTCTGGTTGCTCATTTCTAATATATAGAAATGCAACTGAGTTTTGCATACTGATCTTTATAATAGGAGAGACAGACTGGTCATAGAGATGCTTAGAGAGAAAGGCCATGTGAAGGTGGGGGGAGGTTGGGGTTATGCTGCCCTGAACCAAGGGACACCAGAAGCTACCAGACATTGGGAGAGGCAAGGAAAACTTCTTTCCTGGAGACTTTGTAGGGAATGTGGTCCTGCTGACATCTTGATTTTCTTGTGTTTTTAATTTAAAATTTAAAATTTTAATTGCAATAGCATTAACATACAGTGTTATATTAGTTTCTGGTGTACCATTAGAATGATTCAACTATTCTATACATTACTCAGGGCTCATCATAATAAGTGTACTCTTAATCCCCTTCACCTCTTTCACCCATCCTCCCACCTACCTCCCCTCTGGTAACCATCAGTTTATTCTCTAGAGGTAAGAGTCTGTTTTTTGTCTCTTTTTTTCTCTGTTTTGTCTCTTAAATTACACATATAAGTGAAATCATATGGTATTTGTCTTTCTCTGATTTTTTTGCTTGTACTCTCTAGATCCATCCACGTTGTTGCAAATGGCAAGATTTCATTCTTTTTTATGGCTGAAAACACACACACACAATGGAATATTATTAGATATAGACACAGATATAGATATTATATAGATATAGACGTAGATATATATACCATATCTTCTTTATCCATTCATCTATTAATGGACACTTGGGGGCTTCCATAATTTGGCTTTTGTAAATAATAGTGCAATAAATATAGAGGTGCATATATCTTTTCAAATTAGTGTTTTTGTGTTCTCTGGGTAAATATCCACTAGTGGAATTACTGGAAAATAGGTCTATTTTCAATTTTTTGAGGAATCTTCATACTGGTTTTCACAGTGGCTGCACCAGTTTGCATTCCCATGAACTTTGCATGAGGGTTCCTTTTTCTCCACATCCTCTCCACTGGATGTTTCTTGTGTTTTTGATTTTAGCTGTTCTGACAGGTGTGAGGTGATTTCTCATTGTAGTTTTGATTTGCATTTCCCTGATGATGAGTGATGTTGAGCATATTTTCATGTGTCCATTGGCCATCTGTGTGTCTTCTTTGGAGCAATGTCTGTTTATGTTTTGCCCATTTTTAAATTAGATTATTTGTTTTTTGGGTGTTGGGTTGTATAAGTTCTTTATATATTTTGGATACTAACCCTTTTTTGGATGTGTCATTTGCAAATATCTTCTCTCATTCAGTAGATTGTTTTTTAATTTTGTTGATTGCTTTCTTTGCTGTGCAGAAGCTTTTTATTTTGATGCAGTCCCAATAGTTTATTTTTGTTTTTGTTTCCCTTGTCTTAGGAGACATATCTAGAAAAAAGTTGCTGTGGCTGATGTCAGAGAACTTACTGCCTATGTTCTCTTCTAGGATTTTTATGGCTTCAGGTGTCACATTTAGGTACTTAATCCATTTTGAGTTTATTTTTGTGTGTGGTGTAAGAAAGTGGTCCAGTTTCATTCTTTTGCATGGAGCTGTACTGTTTTCCCAACATCATTTGTTGAAGAGACTGTCTTTTTCCCATTGAATACTCTTTTCTGCTTTGTTTGAATATTAACTGACCATATAATTGTGGGTTTATTTCTGGGCTCTCAATTCTGTTCCATTGATCTATGTGTCTATTTTTGTGCCAGTACCATACAGTTTTGGTTGCTATAGCTTTGTAGTATATCTTGAAATCTGAGATTTTGATACCTCCAGTTTTGTTTTCAAGATTGCTTTGGCTATTCAGGGTCTTTTCTGATTCCATACACATTTTAGGTTTGTTTTTTTTTCTAGTTCTGTGAAAAATACTGTTGGTATTTTGATAGCTTTGGGTAGTATGGACCTTTTAACAATATTTGTTCTTCCAACCCATGAGCACGGAATGTCTTTCCATTTGTTTGCACCATCTTCAATTTCTTTCACCAATGTTTTGTAGTTTTCAAAGTACAGATCTTTTACCTCCTTGGTTAAGTTTACTCCTAGGTATCTTATCATTTTGGGTGCAGTTGTAAATGAGATTGTTTTCTTAATTTCTCTTTCCACTACTTCATTATTAGTTTATAGAAATGCAGTGGATTTCTGTATATTGATTTTGTATCCTGCAACTTTACTAAATTCATTGATCAGTTCTAGTAGTTTTTTGGTGGAGTCTTTAGGGTTTTCTTTATATAGTGTGGCTGACATCTTGATTTTGAACTTCTGACTCTAGAATGGTGAGATAATAAATTTGTTGTATTAAGCCACAAAGTTTGTGGTAATTTGTTATGGAAGATCTCAGAAACTAATACAAGGGCCCTAGGTATTGTCATGCGGCACAGCTTGAAGAGGCCCCAAGATCACCTTCCTCAGAGAGGGCCATATCATGTCTGACAATATTCATGAAGATATTGACTTGATGCTCAAAGATAAACCTAAACACACTTCTTATGGGGATGGCCCTGGGACTGTCAGCTGCCACAAAGAGGTGGGCCTGGGTATGGTTGTGCGTGTGTGTGTGTGTGTGTGTGTGTGTGTGTGTGTGTGTGTGTCGGTGGGATGGCTATCATGATGAAAATGATGAATATTCTCATTCCTCCTATTTCTAGTTCATTCTGATTTCCTTCAGTCATTTTCCTTGTTTCCCACTCACTGCACTACTCTTTTCCTCATATTGACCACCATTGACATCTGGGTCATCCTTTTTCTTTCAGATGGAACATTTTGTAGAAGGTAAATATAAATCAGAGAGATCTCATTATGAGTTGAATATTTGTTCCAAGATATATTAACATTGCAGACACTAAAGATCCTTAAGTAGCAAATACCCTTTTACTGTGTTTTGTTCTGATCATCTAGGATTTTACCATAGCAGTACTCTAAAAATGTACTATGACAAAGCCCACTCGGCTCTGTGTGACACTTAATAATTTTTTAAAACTGCAAAAAAGTCACTTTTTAGGGTGGGAAGTAGGAAGAGCTGGCTCAAGACTAGAGTCAACACTCATGCTTCTAGCTCTGAATCCAGTTCCACTCCAGTCCAGGAGGGCAAACTGAATGTTACTTGAAGATTATATAGAGACTTGCAAGCTTGTATAGAGAATGTTTTTCTTCCCTTCCAAGCTTTGATAAGATCTTTCTTCCCTTTTCTTTGTCATTCATCTGTCAGAGGGTAGAAGAATAAAGAAAGCTGCTTTACTACCCCACCCCTGGACATCCATAGTGTTCAGGTGTCAGAAGCCAAGGTCACTGCATACATGTTCCTACTTATGCCCTTTTACACAGAGCTGTCACTTATCATTTGGGACAGAGAGATGAACCAGTCCCCAGCAGCCTCCTTGACAATTCCCCCGCCATCACACACACTTCAGTTCTGTGTTCAGTAATGCTCTAGAATATGGGAAAGGGTAGAAGGACAAGGAGTTGACTGCTTCACGTTTTTACTGCCCATCTACTCAGCTTTCATTAAAGGGGAAGGACTATTAGGTGTGGATGTCAACTAGTCTCACACCAAGAGATATAGGAACGTAAATGTCTCCTAACCCTTCTGAATTTAGGGTGATCCATTCTAAACTTCTGTTTCTTACTTTTGTGATATATGAGGCTGGTTATTTCCTACTGTCCCTGGAGGTTAAGTGGAGAATTTATTGCTCTATTATATCTGTATAACCACACCCACCCTACGGTTTACCCTCGAGTTGTATAAAGTGAAGATACTGAGGGGCACCTGGATGGCTCAGTTGGTTGAGCATCTGATTTCAGCTCAGGTCATGATCTTGCAATTTGTGAGTTCAAGCCCCACATTGGGCTTGCTCCTGTCAGCCGAAGAGCCCACTTTGGATCCTCTCTCCCCCTTCTCTCTTCCCCTGCCCTGCTTTCATGCTCTCTTTCTCAAAAATAAATATACCATTAAAAAAATCAAGTGAAAATATTGAGGGGGTAGGACTGCTTGAGCCAGATCCTGGGATTGGGTCTTCATTTGATCTTGTCACTTTTGAAGGCTCCTGAAAATATGCATAGGGACATTTTTTTTTCCTTTCTAATGAAAGGATTAGGAAAAATAATGAACTTGGGGCGCCTGGGTGGCACAGTCGGTTAAGCGTCCGACTTCAGCCAGGTCACGATCTTGCGGTCCGTGAGTTCGAGCCCCGCGTCAGGCTCTGGGCTGATGGCTCGGAGCTTGGAGCCTGTTTCCGATTCTGTGTCTCCCTCTCTCTCTGCCCCTCCCCCGTTCATGCTCTGTCTCTCTCTGTCCCAAAAATAAATAAACGTTGAAAAAAAAAATTAAAAAAAAAAAAAAAAAGGAAAAATAATGAACTTAATATTTGGACATGTGACCAGGTACAAATGGAGGAAGCCAGAATTGTGGTGACTTTGTAGTGCTATTATTACTCTCCCTTCATGGCCTGGGACACAGTTTAGAAGGTGAAGCAGGCAATCAGGCACTGAAGTTAATCTTTTCCTTTTTCTAGTCCAAGCTACTGATATCCTATAAACCTTGATCTCAAATGTGACATCGACTAAACACATACCATGCTCCTATGAGAAGGAATAAATCTGTTTGGAAAATAAAATATACTCTTTGGAGAATATATTAATAGGAGTGCTATTTTTTCTCTACAGGGAATGAAAGGTTTCTGAAATTCTCTACCTAGGAGGAGTTAGAGAAAGACTTTCTGGCTAAGTAGAAGAAGCACACCCACTAAGAGAGAACCCAGTGCAGTGACCAGCACAGCTTGTGGAACCTGACACCCTTGACTCCTGGGAACGTGGAAGGAGTTGCTGCTCTATGAATTCCATCATTTTCTCAGGGTGTCTGTCTTTTTCTCCTAACTGCCTGCTTCTACTTAGAAAATTCAAGCCTTCAGATGCTGTTTCACTTATCACTTTGCTCAAGGTAGGAGGTTCTGTAATCACAGGAATGTCCAGCTGTGGGCTCTGCCTGGGTCTGGGGTTCCTCCTTATTCTGACTTTCCTTCTGTGCATGAAACACATCCTAAACTACAGTCTCCCCTCTGGCATCAGGCCCTTGACGGTATCCTCACACCCATAAAGCCTATTCTGGTTTGAAAAGGTCCTGGGCTCTCTACAAAGGCTAACACCAATGTGACTTTTATCAGAGGACCTTGCTGACATTTGCCTTTTGCCTTGAACTGAAGCTTCTGAAGCAAACGACTCCTTATTTGTCTGAACTCAGTTTTATGAAGAGCCTGTCCCTTCTGTTCCAGGACCTGAGGTGTTCTTGCTTCAAAGGTCTCTGCTAATCTTCTGTCCTGAGCAGGTTGCTCTTTCCCTGGTGTGGAAGGTCTCTAATCCTGCATTTTCTTATAGATGTTCTCCTGATTTGGCTTAGGGCCCTCTTTCACTTCATTTGGGTCTGCATTTGTCTTCTGACTCTTACCTGGGTCCTGAAGGCTAGGGGCTCCACCATCCTGCATCCAGCATTCTTCTTTGTCCTCCATGTGAATAGAAAGAATCTGGGAAGTGGCCATGTCTCCACTGTGCACACACTGCATATGGGGTTGTGAGCTTTTAGCCATCAAACAGTCGTGAGTCATGTGATTCTTCTGTGGAAGTGCAATGAGCATGACTATGTGGCTCAACCTTCAATTTGAGCTGTATCTTACTAAAAACATGGTCTTTAAGAAAAGTTTTTGCTAGATCTTGGGTCCCCAACATTCTCAGTGGTGGGGCCATTCCTTGGTTATGGACCACTCAGATCCCCATTTAGATTTTGGATGTTTCTCAGCTCAATAGCTCAGAAGGTCTTTTTTTGGGGGCGGGGGTGATGAGATTCTAGCACCTGTCAAGTGGCTAAGTCAATGAAGGACAGCCCCAAGGGCTATTCACGTGACATTCCTGAACCACTGAGGGTGCCAAGTTTCTGATTTCCCTGTGGGTGTGAGACATTCCAGGAGGGAGGTAGAATAAAGTCGGCAGTGAGCCCTGCATGATGTACATTCACAGGGATCCTACCCTGATTGACTTTGCCCAAGTGTATGCTCAGGGTGTTTTTCCAATTGCTTCTCTACTAGGTTCTCCCTTGGATGCCTTGATAAATCATTGTCTGAATGACTCACCTCCCTTTTTGCTTCCTTCTTAGAGTCAGTTCTCAAACAGTGCATTGGATAACTGAGGCTTTTGCTGGATTATCTTTTGGACCCCATCACAGAATATACTCTTGTCCCCTTCACTAATTTCTTCACTAGGCTCCTCACATGGAAGCTTATTGGATTCCTTAATCCAATCTTCCGTGAATACTTGTTGCTTCACCCCTTAAAAACAGAGGGCATTGAGAGTCTGTCAGACAGGGTTCTAGGCAGGAGCAGAGGCTGAGCCTTGGGGTAGGGCAGGGGCTGTTTCTGGGGAAACTGTAGGGATTCTTTAACTTGTATTTGGTTTTGAGGGGTAGGAACATTAGATATTACATTGAATGAGACAGCTGGAGATGCTAATGGGGGAATCGCTACCAAAGACCAGGATTGTGTTCATCAGGGACTTGTGCCTGATGAGGACATTCCAGAAGATCCAGCTCCATTTATGTGGCATATGGTTCTCCAAAGTTTTAAGAAATGGGAAATTGTGGGGCGCCTGGGTGGCGCAGTCGGTTAAGCGTCCGACTTCAGCCAGGTCACAATCTCGCGGTCCGTGAGTTCGAGCCCCGCGTCGGGCTCTGGGCTGATGGCTCAGAGCCTGGAGCCTGTTTCCGATTCTGTGTCTCCCTCTCTCTCTGCCCCTCGCCCGTTCATGCTCTGTCTCTCTCTGTCCCAAAAATAAATAAACGTTGAAAAAAAATTAAAAAAAAAAAAAAGAAATGGGAAATTGTGATGACTGGTCAGCTGCTTGGTTTGCCCCCAGTGCTTCAGAATGGTTGGGAGGCTATGGTGTCCCACTCATCAGCAAGTGATTCTAAGCTATTTCTAGAATTTATACATGATCGCTTTTTTGTTCCTTTCTTGTCCCAAGTTCAGAAATCCATTCTTGTTATAACTGGTGTCTTCAGATGCTCCTGAAGATATAAAGTGTGTGGGAAAAGATGCTGTTAGTTTCCATACACCTGCTTGTAGGGTCTCCCCAGAGGAAGTTGAAGTGGAGGAAGGTTTTGCTGGAGAACAGTGTCAGGAAGTGGAAAGGAACAAGTATTTGGCAGATGCTGGCCACCAGGGGAAGGTGAAATAGGCAGGTGTCAGTGGCCCATTCCTGAGAATATTGACATAGAAGAGGCCAACAGTAGGTGCTAGCTGGAGAGTAGCTCTGTGAAATGGTGTTCAGCGGGATGGAAATCAAATCTGAATGAATTAATTGAATTCTAGTGGTGGTAGAATAGGGAACTTTGGAAGTTCAGAATGCCAGGAGAATGATTCAGTGGGATCTAGGACCTGGGTTAATTGGTAAGAGATTGATATCATGAGAGCGTAAGGTCATGTGAGGCCAGTCTTTTCTTTACTCTGTGTTTACACTAAGGGACAAGAAAAGAATGAGCAGCTGGGAATCACACTATACTGTCTCTAGGCAAGAGAGTTATTCATTATTCATGAACAATATGTCTTCTGCATTGAATTCATGGATCTCTGTGTTCTGTCTCTGTTATTCATTTTTAAAATGGATAAAAATATTTTCTATTGATGTTTATTTGATAAATTCAAGTAAGAACCTGTTTTCAGTATGTGATCTGCAACAACCTTTCAGTCAGTTATCCTTCTGCTTAAGAAGGGTGCAGATTCTCAGACATAGAGGGGCAGTTTACTCTATCAGGTAGGATTCTGGTCCTGGAGGCTAGAGCTGGGTTTTTGGAATCTTCTCAAAGGCTTTTAGAGGATCATCATTGCTCTGCATTTTAGCCTTGACCTAAGGGTTTGGCCCAGAGATCAAGATTCTGTATAGGAAGATAACTGAAAAGTGAGTATTGTAGAACTCTGTTCCGCTGTGGGTATGCTGAACTTTTTAATTATCCAATCCAGGACCTTGATATCCAGAGATTTTCCCCTGGAGCTCTGTATACGACCCCCTAGATTTGACTGTGAACTTTGAATAGGAGTGCTAGTTGCCACTCTACCCTCTACCCAGTCTATCCTATTCCTCTAGAAGGATGATGTTCTAATATTTCTCAAGAATTTCCACTTCAGGTGTGTTTCTTTACAAATGGTTTATTAAAGTGGGAAGAACAGAATTAAACAAGAGTCAGTGTGTTCTGGAGGTTAGGTATAGGCATCCCTTACTTGATTTATATCTCTATTTTTTTTTTACAAATACTGATAAAAACAGATTTCAGTTTTGGCCACATATATTTTGGTGACCTGTCAATAGGTACATAAATGTTTATAATTGTTATATCTTTTAGCTGTATTGAGCCTTTAATTAATACACAATGTCTTTCTTTGGCTCTTACAAACTTTTTTGGTTTAAAGTCCGTTGTGTTTGATATTAATAAGGCCAACTTGCTCCCTTTTGGTTATTTTCATGGAATATCTTCTTCCATTCTTTCGCTTTCAATCTATTTGTGTCTTTGGATCTAAAGTGAGTTCTTATAGACAGCATATAGTTGGTTCACATATTTTATCCACTCTGCCAATCTCTGTCTTTTCATTGGAGAGTTTAATTTGTTTACACTTAATTACTTATAAGGAGGGATTACTTCTGTCATTTTTCTATTTATTTTTTACATATCTTATGACTTTTTTTCAGTCCTTTATTTCCTACATTAGTGTCTTCTTTTATGCTTAGTTGATTTTTGTCTCAAAATATTTCAATTCTTTTCTAATTCCTTTTGTATATGTTCTATAGCTATTTTCATTGTGGTTACTATATGGATTATATTTAATATCCTAAAGTTTTAACAATCTAACTTAACTTGCTTTCAATAACATACAAAAACTCTGCTCCCTTAATAGCTTTGTCTTCACCCTTTTTAGTTGTTGATGTTACAGAATTACATCTTTATACGTTGTGGGCCCTCAAATGTAAAGTACTAATTCTTTTTAAAGAATTTTAAAGTATTTTTAAAGAATTTAAAGTAATTTTTTTAAAGTTCATTTATTTATAGGGCGCCTGGGTGGCTCAGTCAGTTAAGCATCTGACTTCAGCTCAGGTCATGATCTCATAGTCTGTGAGTTCGAGCCCCACGTCGGGCTCTGTGCTGACAGCTCAGAGCCTGGAGCCTGCTTCAGATTCTGTGTCTCCCTCTCTCTGTTCATGCTCTGTCTCTATCTCTGTCTCAAAAATAAATAAACATTAAAAAAAATAATGTTCATTTACTTATTTTGAGAGAGAGAGAAAGAGAGAGAGAGAGAGAGCAAGTAAAGGAGGGACAGAGAGAGAGAGAGAATCCCAGGCAGGCACCTCACTGTCAATGCAAAGCCTGACGCAGGGCTTGAACTCACAAACCATGAGATGGTGACCTGAGCTGAAGTCAGATGCTTAACCAACTGAGCCACCCAGGTGCCCCTGTAAAGTAGTAATTCTTCTTTTAAGTGCTTTAGTTTCTTAATTTATGTAGAAAACTAAATGTGGGGTTACAAAAAAAGGTTACAATAACACTAGTTTTTAGACTCATAATTAAAAAAATATATTAGTCTCTTAAATCATGTAGAAAATAAAACATGAAGTTACAAATCATTGTTACAAAAATACCGGCTTTTGTAATTGCCCATGTACTTACCTTTATTGAGATCTATATTTTTTCATATTGTTTTGAGTTTTATTTTCTGTTGTTTTTTTCTTTTCATCCTGTAGGACTTTTGAGCATTTCTTATAGGAAAAATCTAGTGGTAACAAGTTCCCTTAGCTTTAGTGTATCTAGGAATGTCTTAATTTCTCTCTCACTTTTCAAGGACAGTTTTGGTGGATGTAGGATTCTTGGTTGACACTTTTTTTGTTGTTCTGGCACTTTGACCGTATCACTCACTGCCTTATGGCCTATGAAACTTGTGATGAAAATCTCATGATCTTATTGAGGATCCCATGTATGTGACGAGTTGTTTCTCTCTTGCTGCTTTCATGATTCTCTGTTTTTATACATTCTGGTTTTTGAAAATTTGCTTATAATCTGTCTTGGTGTGGGTCTTCTTGAGTCCATATTACTTGGAATTTGTTGAGCTTCTTGGATGTTTATATTTGTCTTTTATCAAACTTGGGAAGTTTTTTTTTAAAGTTTATTTATTTATTTTGAGAGTGAGATGTGTGTGTGTGTGTGTGTGTGTGTGTGTGTGTGTGTGTACAGAAAGAGAGAGAGAGAGAGAGAGAGAGAGAGAGAGAGAGAGAGAATGAACCCCAAGCAGGCTCCACACTGTCAGTGCAGAGCCTGACATGGGGCTTGAACTCATTAACCATGAGATCATGACCTGAGAAACCAAAAGTTGGACACTTAACTGACTGAACCACCAGGTACCCCAAACTTGGGAAGTTTTAAGCCCTGATTTCTTCAAATACTTTCTTAGTACCCCCTTTCTCTCTCTTGGACCCCTATAATGTGTATATGTTGGTTTACTTGATAGTATCACACAGGTTCCTTACACTCTGTTCACTTTTCTTCAATCTTTTCCCTTTCCTGTTTCTCAGATTCAATAATGGCCATGATCTTATCTTCAAGTTCATTGATTTTTTTTCTTTGGCCTGTTCAAATCTGCCTTTGAATACCTGTAGGGAATTTTTCATTTTAGTTATTGTACTTTTCATCTCCAGAATATCTTCTTGGTTTCTTTTTAGGTTTTCTATTTCTTTATTTGTATTTCCATTTTGTTCACATATTTTTTTTTTTTTACTTTCTCCATATCTTCAATTCTTTAAAAATTTTTTAATGCTTATTTATTTTAGAGAGAGAGAGAGTGTATGTGAGAGACAGAGCACAAGTGGGGTAGAGGAAGAGAGAGACATCACAGAATCTGAAGCAGTCTCCAGGCTCTGAGCTGTCAGCACACATCCTGACATGGGGCTCGAACTCACGAGCTCCGAGATCATGACCTGAGCTGAAGTCGACTGCTTAACTGACTGAGCCACCCACATGCCCCTCTTCCTTTAATTCCTTGAGCATCTTTAAGACAGTTGTTTAAAGGGTTTGTGTAGAATATCTGCCATCATTTGCCTGAAGTGACAGACTCTTTCCTGTTTTCTTTTGTAACAACAGCTTCTCCAAAGCTCCCCACTATCAAAGGACTTAAACTTCAAGCTTCCTTCTTTCCTTGTCTACTCTTCCTTCACTGTAGGATGTCTCCCTCGCCCCCTGAAAATCCCCTCTACACATCCTGTCATCTCTGTTATTATTTATATCCTGTTATTATTTATATCTCTGTTATTATTTATATCCTGATTCTGCCCTGAGTGACCCTAAAAATCCAAAGACTCCCATATGTAAAATATCCTTCAGAGTTGAGCAAAGATCAGCTCCTGAAAGAGAAATTTTGGTGACAAAGGGACTATTAAAATGGTCCATCAGACAAATTCTTTAAAAATATGAATATCAAAATGATTACAGAAATGCTGAGGGATTTTTATAGATTCAAGGAGACTAAGGAGATATGATAACTTAATAGAATATCAGATCCTAGACTAGATCGTGTACTGGAGAAATGCTCTAAAGGATATTACTGGCTAAACTGACATCACTGAAATACAGTAGATAAAATTCTATGTTATTGTTCAAATTAACAAAGTTTATAACTATCCTGGAGATAGGAAACAGAATATCCTTGCTCTTAGGAAATATTCACTGAAAAATTTAGGGGCAAAGTGTAATGATATATGCAACTTACTCCCAAACATTTAGGACAAGATATGTATATGGGTAGAGAGAGCAAAGGAAACAAAATGCTAAAACTAGGTGAACCCGGGCCATAGGATTAGCAGTGTTCTTGCAAGTTTTCTGTAAATTTGATTATTTTTCTAAATACAAGTTTAAAAAAAATGGCCAATGCCTCTGTTTCCCTGAATTTTATCTCTCCTTTGAGATTCTCTGCCTTCAATCACATAGCCCTCACACGTATGCTGTTCCACCTTCAAAACAGTTGTACCATGCGCTATCTCAGTGAAGACCAGCAGGATACACTTATCACAACTGAGGTCCTAATGTTTCTGTTTAGAGAATATAGAAAAAGAGCACAAGGGAAAATGAAATAAAAAACACACATAATGTACAAAAATATAAAATTAATACAGAAATACGAAGAATTGTGTTTATAACATGGAGGTTTCAGGAACTGAGAATCAGAGTGTAGGTTTTGGAATCAGTCACAGCTGAGTTCTAATCTTTGCTCTGTCCATTAACAACCATGTGATCTGGAGCAGAACATTTTGCCTTTTTCTTCTTTAGTTTCCTTATCTGGAACCCAGAGACAGAAATCCTCTGTGTTTGTAGGAAAAAAAAAAAAAAAAGCTAGCATATGAAGAAAATTCCTGAAAAGAAAAGTTTAAGGAAGGAAAGCTAGACACCAAATGGTCTCCTACCCCAAGATTTTAGTGGACTTCATGGGTATTCTTTGGAGTCTAAAAAGCTTTGAAGTCTATAAGAATTTGTGGTTGCACTGGGGTAGAGAAGAATATGGAGGAAAGAGAAGGGCCTTATTTGCTAAGGCCTTCATCAGAGTATGTGCTTTACATGTGGATTGATTTAGTATTTAGGATCTTATGACACTTCCCTATGTTGCCGATGGAAATAGAGATTGTTAGAATGCTTTCATTTTGGTAATATCTATTCAAATAAAAAAGTGCATATGTGCACAATGAAACTTGCATAGGCAAGTTTATAAGCATATTTACTGCAGTATTGTTCTTTTTTTTTTTTTAATTTTTTTTTTCAACATTTATTTATTTTTGGGACAGAGAGAGACAGAGCATGAACGGGGGAGGGGCAGAGAGAGAGGGAGACACAGAATCGGAAACAGGCTCCAGGCTCCGAGCCATCAGCCCAGAGCCTGACGCGGGGCTCGAACTCACGGACCGTGAGATCGTGACCTGGCTGAAGTCGGACGCTTAACCGACTGCGCCACCCAGGCGCCCCAGTATTGTTCTTTTTTAATATATATATTTTTATTTTTTAAGTTTGTTTGTTTATTTATAGCAGGAGCCGAGGAAGGGCAGAGAGAGAAGGAGAGAGAGAGAATCCCAAACAGGCTCTGTGCTGGCAGCATGGATGTGGGGCTTGAACTCATGAACTGTGAGATCATGACCTGAGCCAACAGACAACCTGAGCTTAACAGACTGAGTCCCCCAGGGCGACCCTTCTGCAGTATTGTTCTAAAAGCAAATTCAAGGACACTATCGATTAAGGGGATCAGTTAAATAAACTATTATACATGCATGTCATTAAAGACTCATCCATGAAATAGAATGAGACATTAGCATATACTATAGATTATGTGTGTTTACCAAAGAAAACAATTTATGTAAGGAAGGCTACTATTTTTGCTGGGCGGTGGTGGTGTGGGAAGGATATATACAGACCAATCTACCTTTCCAAAGGTGCTTTTTTACACTTAAACTGTCTCTGGAAGACCACACAAAAATTTAATAATGTTTTTCAGAAGGGAAATTTGGAGACACAGGAGGTAAACTTACTCTTTTTACTCTATTCCCTTTTGTATTTTCTATATTTGTTACCAAGTGCTCATATCACTTTTTTTTATATTATCCTTTTAAAAAAAGGTTTGTTTTTAAACAAATTTCCAGCCACCTGCTTACCTCCAAACCCCTCTCCCAGCCCAAAGTCCTTCTCCAGGGCTTTGGTTGTCGTGGCAACTTACCACTGGTTTCTTCAGCAAGAAACTGCTGGACTTGTGGTTTAAGGTAGGTGTGGTAAGGATGGAAATATATAATCAAAGAGGGGAGTGTGTATCACAGGTAGGCATTTATTGTTTACTCTGTATCTTTTATGTTTTTGCATATGTAATCATGTGCATATATATGGTGTTGCGGGATCATTGAATGCTGATCGTCAAGAAAGAATTCTTGAGATGTTTTACAGTGCAACTTAGTAAGTTTATTTAAATGGCACCGGGACAGGACGTGGGCAGAAAGATCCACGCTTTTGCTATATGCACCAATGGTTATATGCTTACTGTTAAAGGGGACGGGGATGTGCAGGGAGTATTAGATCATAAATGTTTTCTTTGAATTTCTACTCGTAAAACTATTTTTGCAAGACTTCTCCGGTGCTTATCATTTAGCTGGATATTAACTAGTGGTGGGATATACAGGCAATCATGGGACCTTTTAAGAATGTAGCAACCAGTACGTATATGCTCCTTATCAGAACTATGCAGGCTGTATAGATCGGCCTTCTGCACTAAAGTGAACGTATTTCTGCTTCTATCACTCACCAGTAGTACCTTTTAAAAGCGGAGAATTTGCCTATTTAAAGACTTCCCTGGACTCCTTCTCAGTCCCTCCCCTCCTGAACTGTGGACACCCACAAACCCCTAGTTCACCAGCCAGAGTGTGGAGAGTCTTCTGCTCCAAGGGAGGGGACTGAGGGTGGGGATCAACCCTAGAAAAAAATGTCTTTCACTGATGGGGAACTGAGGTTTAGAAAGATTGCATTGGCTTTCTTTTTCAATTAAATAGGGATACAAATATATCTACCTGGCAGTAGGTAAGGGGGAAATAGGCCCTAAAATCCTTAGAATCATTAACTGTGAAAGATACTTAAATCGTAATCGTATTTGAAAAGTAAGGAAGCTCGCGCGCTGCATGCCGGGATTTGTAGTCCCCTCCGGATGGCTCACAGTGCGGCTGTGCAGGGGAGAGCCGCTCTTCCTCGGCGCAGGCGTGCGGCAGCGGCGGCAGGACTGACTGGGCCAAAGCGGCGGTGTGCTCGCGGGCCACCGGGAGCTTGTCATGGCGGTTCCTGCGGCGGCCATGGGGCCCTCGGCGCTGGGCCAGAGTGGTCCTGGCTCAATGGCTCCCTGGTGCTCAGTGACCAGCGGCCCAACACGCTACGTGCTGGGAATGCAGGAGCTGTTTCGCGGCCACAGCAAGACGCGCGAGTTCCCTGCGCATAGCGCCAAGGTGCACTCGGTGGCCTGGAGCTGCGACGGGCGTCGCCTTGCCTCGGGGTCCTTCGACAAGACGGCCAGCGTATTCCTGTTGGAGAAGGACCGGTTGGTGAGCTGTCAGGGACCGGCCCAGCAGGAGAGAGGGGCCGTGGTAAAGGGCGGTGTGGTGTTGAGGGAGAGAATGGGGGTGAAAAGGGGGGTGGAGGCAAGGGGTGTGGGGATGTTGGGAGTGTGCAGTGCACGAGAGAGGAGTGTGGGAGTGATGAGGCTGGTGGTTAGGGGTCAGGAGGGGGTGTGGTGGAGAGGTGGACGGCGGTGGTAAGAGGGAGGTGGGGGTGCGAGGGAGTGTAGTAGTGAGGAGGAGTTCAGATGAGGGGGGTGGGGGGGGAGATGAAGACGGCTGGTGAGGAGGGTGGGTGGGACTGGGGTGAGATGGGGGTGTACGAGAGTGGTAGGAAGGTGTTGTGTAGTGTGAGGAGTGGCTAGGGTGCTGTGGTGCTGGTGAGGTCCCCATGGTGGTGAGGGGGGCCCTTTTGAAAATAATAGGGCTTTCTGTGGGGATGAGCAAGACTGGGAACCTGGGTGGTAGAGTAAGGATGGAAAACCAGAAAGAAGGAGGAAGGACAGGGAGGACAAAAGAGTAAGGCCATTGGTATGGAACCCAAACCTCAGAACAGTTTAGAGTGACTGGGGAGGAAGTGTGGGTGGGTATTGGGAGTAGTTTGGCAGAAAGGGCTTGGAAGGATTGGTGTCTTTTAAATTATCCAGATCTTTGTTGGTCACAAGGTACTTTAGTTTGAATAAGGTTAAAAAAATTACATGTGGAGGCAGGTACTTTTGTGTGTAGTGATGTTTGGATTCTCTTATTTCAGGTTAAAGAAAACAATTATCGGGGACATGGGGATAGTGTGGACCAGCTTTGTTGGCACCCAAGTAATCCTGACCTCTTTGTCACCGCGTCTGGAGACAAAACCATTCGCATCTGGGATGTGAGGACTACGAAATGCATTGCCACTGTGAACACTAAAGGTGACTCTTCAGAGAAAGGGCAATAGGAATGAGCTACTTCTAGTCATTCAACAGGCCTTTCCTGAATTATCTTCTCTATTTGTGGCCTTGTGTTAGGTATGAGACATCCTGGGCTGAATAAGACAATCTCCAGCTCCTAGGACCCGTACCGGGTTTAGTGCAGGGAGAGAGACGTACGTGTAAAAAAAACCCTACGTGATATGACATGGTTCGTCTTAACTGGAGAGGTCTAAAAGATGGACACTCAGAATGGAAATGCTTAAGTCTGCCTGTGGAGACAGGGAGGGTCTCACAGATTTGAGCAAACTCTTAGAATAGCTAATAGGGATTTAGTGGTCAGGGTACAGTGGGTTGGTGGGGGATAGGAGGCAGCTCTAGGAGGGAACTGCATGTACAGATGTGTGGAGAATTTATGAAACTGTTGATAGGCTAGAATGGCTGATCTTGGAATGAATGGTCTTGGTGGTCTGGGACAAAATGAACTGGAAGTCGTGCAGTATGTTTGTAGAATCTGTTCTTCACCAGGTATTGTTCTGTAAACCTTGAGGCCATTTATTATATTTTATTGACTAACATGTCATTGATTACAAGATGCACCAATATTTTATGTGCTAGTAGGAAAGAAGATAAAGCTTCTACGTAACCATGATGCACCAAAAATTTTGAGATGCATCCTGTTGTATTTTAAGGTACATTATAGATAATAAAGTGTGAAAAAAATATGCATCATAGAATTGGTAAAGTTGATGACATTTCTAATCAATGTGTTCACTGTGGGCCACTGGACTTTTTGACAAGACTGGTACCTGGACATGGAATGTTGTCGTGCTTCCTCCAAGTAGACGGCTGGTAATGCATGTGTGATTTAGGTGTAACATGGATGAACATTCAAAACTGGCTGTGTCTATATCTTAATACCTACCAGAAAAAAAGAACTAGCCTGTAGAATTCATTGCTAAATTGAAACTAAATTTATTTAAGAAATTTTTTGAGTCAATTTTAAGAAAAGTCTTGAGTAAAGAAATATAGCTGTTAACATAGGACAAAAATTGTGAAAGTGGCATTCGAATGACTGGAGTTTGGGAAATGAATGTTGGTGTAAGAATAAGAGGCTTTGGAGTTAAATCTGGCTTAGATTTTGGCTCTATTACATCATAGCTTTGACATTTTGGCTCATCTCTCTTATCTTCCATTTCTTCATATGTAAATTGGGAATAATGAAGTGTCCATTAGAGAATTATTGTGAGGACCCAAAGGGGGGAAATTTGTAGATGAATGTGCTGGTCTCAAAATTGTTGAGTAAGTGGTCATTCCCTTCTATTGACTAGGACCTTAGTGAATA